TATTTTTACATGCTGCTAGTGAGAGAACCTGTTGTTAAAATATTTGAATCCCACCACTGCATATATACGTATAGTGAATGTCCACCAGGCTAGTGTAACGGGCATCTTAATTAACAGGGAAAGATGAACCCCATGATCGGCGGTGAATTTTCGGACTTACAACGTTAAAATCAGGGGTTCGATTCCCCGCAGTGGACCGAGTACAGATAGCCCATTATGTAACTGTGCACTAAGAAAACAACTGTAGAGTTCATGCGTGCGTTTTCATTATTAACAGTGCTACGTAATTACAAGTTAAACATTTTCATAACTATATCTTTATATGGTTCAGAACGAAACTATTTTGTACAGTGTTCAATCAATATGTTTTATTTTTTGTATACCAAATACAAGAGTTATCTTTCCATTTCTTGCAAAATAACACGTCATATAAAAGTTAGCACAACCTTAATTATAACCATTTTTTTTGCAGTAACTTCAACACAGTAAAAACAATACAAGATCAAGTGAATAAAGCAATGGCTTTAACTACTGATTTTGCAACTTGTAAACGTTTAATGTTGTAGCCCTAGCTTCATCAGAGATTATCTTAAAAAACACACGAGTTAGGCTTAAGATTCTGCGTTTTAGGTTTACTTACTCATTTTCAGAATTTTACAACAGTATTTTGGTACGTAATTTATAAACGAAACCCGAGAAAGAAATATATGAAAAGAAAAAGCGAATAGTATTGGTCAGATAAAATTCGGTATTAATATCTGGTACCGTTGTAAATAAATCCAATCCAGAGATAAAAAAATAAAACGGGAATATTCGATAAAGACCGAAAACAAAGAGACTTAGTTTAAGCCTTGGTATCGGAGATCATGATTACTAGTCCGAGTACACTAAACTAATAGTAAGAAATACGTTAAAGTTTCATATTAGATTTGATATTTTGTAGTAGCAGTATAATAATTTCTAAACATGTACAAGTACGATAAGCTGAAAATATACAAAACAAAACTACATAAACTATTTACTACAAGTGTTTGTCCAACCGAAACTAGAATTACTATTTGCTCCACTACCGAAACTCCACCACGTAGAATTACTAGAAACTCTATAACAAATGGTCGCTTATGGGAAAAACGGGGTTTCGATATCCGTCGTGGGCTTGGCACAGATAGCCCATTGTGTTGCTTTGCGCTTAACAACAACCACTGTATAGCTTAGTGTCAACATTTCAACGCCACTTCAGTTATTCAGTTGCGTTTTCGAAATTACAATAATAAACTAAAATGGGTGTATTTTCGTAATGAATGTTCACAGTTACAGTTGTTTCTGTTCAAAATTACACGTGTTATATTAGCCTAAGCACCGTTTTTCTTCCTCTGAATCTTTTTTTTTTTTTTTTAATCTGTTAAATTTCGTAACCGTTAGATGGCGTGTTAACATATTAAATTTATATCGTTATCTCGTTGTAAACGATTGAATGATTATAATAGATACGTAAGTGTGGATAGAAAAAATATCGCGATGTGCAAGTGTTTTCGTTTTCTTTTTTCATGTCCATAATCACATTCGAGATTTTATTCATTAGGCCCAATTTTGTTCATAAAATTTTACCATTCTTTTATAGAACTTATTTAAATACATTGCAGAAGAAAGGTGACAGTGTGATTGTTATAAAACTTTACACTGTCGACAATAATTCCTTCTGCACCACGGAATCGGTTTTCTTTTCTTCTTCTTCATTATTATCTTCAGGGTTCTGTGATCTGCAGAAAAAAAAAGAAAAAAAGTGAAGCAGACGTTATATTGACTTTTTTTTTTACCATTTAGGCATAAGATTAATGGACAATGTTCACCAGATGTCACTAGAATCGGTGGTTATATAAACGTTTAAGGACCGTTAAAATAATTTGGAGCATAAACAAACGTTAGAAATCCAGTGAATGAATAAAGTATTTATGAAATTTAACTAAAACATTGAATGTAACGATCTGATTTTAGGCATATAATGTCCTAGTGAACTGTAGTGACACTAATAAGTCTAAAGAGCAAATGAACTGGTTCATAATATTTCTTCCACAGAGGTACGAACATTCAAACTTACTACATTTCTTGAAGTAGGGTATCTTAGATAAAAACTAAGTTATAAGGAATATTCGAAGATGCTAAACCATTCATTAGCCCCTGGTTTAGTTTACAGTAAATACACCCCAACATTACTCTTAGGCCTTCAAGAATCCATGACAAATATTAATACATTGTTTTCATTTTATATTGCCCTCCAGTTGGCTCAACGGTAAACTTGATTAATTTTGAATTTTGCGCAAAGTTACTCTTAGACTATCTGCATTAGCCGTCGCTAAGTTAGCAGTGATAGACTAAAAAGAAGACAGCTAGTCAACACCACCAACGAATAGTGGAATTTACATAATTCCCCCCACGGCTGAAAGGGCAAACATGTTCGGTGACGGGGATTCTAGTGAGTCGATCGTGCTAAACCAGTGGTAAGCCAGCAGGCTAAAGACACTAAGAATCGAGCTTCGATATCCGTGGTGCGCAGAGCACAACTAGCTTATTGCGTAACTATGCGCTTAACGCAACCAAACCAAATCGTTATATAGATGTCGATTTTGGTGGAAAGTGAAAGATAAAGTTTAAGGAATTTAAAACTTTGAAACTGATTGGTGACAACAGAGTGTCTGTAATGGTTACTTTATGGCAGTGAATGTTCATAGTCTGCTTATATGAATATATGTTGGATGGTAACTGAAAACAAAACGTACACGTTATATCAGGAAATGTGTATATATATAAATGTTCTTTGTTTGAACATTTACAGCATATTTTGTCTAATTGACGCTATATTTATTAGGACACGCAATTATCCCAAAAAGTAAAACACAATTCATTACTTAAGGTTGACGAACTGTCACAACAGATGTTTAAAATCTAAAAACCAAAACATTACAAATTGATAAACTTCCAAAAGACGTATTATTTTTCAAAACCAATTTTACGAAGCTCCGACTTCGAGAACAGACACTAATCATTTCTTTATTTTAGAAACAGTCCTAACGCCATTGATATGAAGTTCTGATAGTTGCGAATGATTCTGGAGCCTCACCACATTATTATAATCTATGTCGCCACGTCCGGTCATACTCTCTCTGACGACCATGCATCTCGACAATAGCCAACCAGCATAATTTTCGTTGTAAAGCTGTCATATCCAAAGCAAACAACTTCTTTCTTTATGCTTTCCATAATACATTTAGTGTATGAGGACGACGGTTTCCCAGCACCTGTTTCAACAGTTTGATTGCACAGAAACCCAAAGTTGATGTACCCAGCGACTTGAATGGTAAGTCATTTTATGGAATAGCATGAATACAAATTTAATTATCCAGCTGATTGAGATATGTAATAGTTGACGTAAATGGAAGCCTTATCGTCGTGAACCTATACACTGTTGAACTCATTTTAAGATGGCGATCCTTCTTGATCATGTTGCCCACAGTTACTGGATCAGGATTCTAACGTTATAAGACGCCGCATTTGGCTTGCCATGGCTGGGATACGACTTGTTGCAAGTCTCTTTCTGGATGGCCCTAGTGCCTCAAGTTTATCCATATTCCTTTTTTTCTAATAACATTAAATACAACAGATATCCCCGTTTTGGAAATTAAAAAATTCTCAATCAGAACATATCTTTATGATCTGAATATATGAAAATATATATTATCGAAAATGTTTTTTTAATACCCTTCCTAAACGAGACCAGTTTTCGGTGGCATTACAATACCTATGACACAATAAGCAATGTCAAAATGTAGTTCTGATACATTCCGTTCCACCGCGATTTTATATCGGCCTTGGTTATCAGAAGACTTACTGATTTGCATATACAAAAGCGTTTTAATGCAACATACTCAACCTTGTATTTTCTAGTTTAGATATACTTGCAATAATTGTCAAAACGATGAAAATGATACAGCCAACATTTTCATCTACGAAAAAAAAAGTTTTTGAACAAAATTATTCAATATAAACTTCTGATCAAAAATAATTAAACTATATAGATTGTAACTTAGGTCAATGAAGTCAGTTACACATAAGAAACGTAATTTAATGATAAATACATCAGTGATTAAACATGCTTTAAATCATCAGTTGGGTACTATTGTTGTTTAAAGATATTTTCGGTCATAATCCCAAGGGTATTTCACGAGATCTAGTCACTTTAAGAGACTTAGGTTAGTCCTAGATGCAGATCCTAGTATAACAATGCCCATTTGCCTTTGTAGGTTAGAAATTATTGACTTAGCATTAAATCTGATCCCCAATGGTTTTTTTTTCTACAAGTCTTGAAACTTATGCATTTTCTTTCTTTTTTTTTGCATTTGGGGTTTCCGCCCCTCTGTGGCTCAGCAATAAGTCTGATGTTTATAATGCTAAAAAATCAGATTTCTATATCCATGGGGGCAAAGCACAAATATCTCATTGAATAGATTTCTGTTTAACAAGAAATAAACAAAAACAAGACATTTTGGATTAAAAAAAATAATAATTACTAAAAATTGAGAACATTAAGCCGTACCCGAAAAAAGAAAAATACTTCTGACTGTTACCAAATCTTTCTCCGTCTTCTATAGTTTGTGGTAACTTGGCATTCAGAGTTTCTGGAAGAAACGATGCAGCAAATGATGCTATCAAACAAATTCCTCCAATGATAAAGTAAGGGATGTGTTTGTCATACGTTCCCTGATGGAAATAATAAGAATTATTACTTGCAACAAACATCTATGAAAGGATTTGGTGAGAAAAATCAAATAGTCCATAAAACTAAAATGCTTTGAATCTTCCAATATTAAAAAATGAAAAGTAGGGGGTACAGGACACAACGTCATTCAAGTAAAAAATGGAAAGTGGGGGTTCAAGACACAACGTCATTCAAGTAAAAAATGGAAAGTGGGGTACAAGACATAACGTCATTCAAGGTGTTCTTAGTTTATCACAATATTTATATGTTTCTCACTTAATCATCTGCCCGCCTTATAGAAATCTCAATATGCTCGACGTCAATGTATTGCACGCAACATTCGATAGTCTCATCATTAATTAATTATAAACACAACTTCCGATAATCGTCTGCTTTCAACTCTCTTATCATAAAAAACAACAGCTAAACAATCATCAAATATTAACTCACAAAATAAATTAATTAATACTATCTACACTAAACAGTCTTTTATATCATGACAGACACAAGAATCGAATCACAATCTCTTCGATCCTCCGACCGGAATGTTAACCACTAGCCTAAGCTCAGCTATTGAACTCTTGTTTTGCCTACAGGTATACGGATAATGGCAAAATAATTACACTGAACTATCCATCTTCAAATGTGTCAAAAGAATGTGATTTATTACTTCTAATTTCACTCCTTTTTACTCTCTTCTGCTATTGTCTGTCTGTTGTTTCCGTTCGTTTGTCACGGCCAAGGAAAAGTTCAGCGTGAAGTTAACTGCTGTAGAAGTGATAGGCCTAACGGTTGATATGTTAGACTGTAAGAGTAAAACTAACAGTTTTAAAACAGATAAGAAGTGTAGTTTATTCCGTCAAACCGAGTATTAAAGTAATTGAACCACCCTGAGTGCACGTTGACAAAAAGAACAAATTATATTTGAAGTACGAGGACCAGACGATTACTAGAAGAGCAGTATATGACTGTGGTGACTCACGCTATAATTATATGTGAATTATACACGGAATACTGGCATGATTGAAGTAGAAAAAGGTAGTGCGGCTTGTCAACTGAAATTCTAAAGCTACTGAATAGGCCTAAGTGACTTTTGATAAGAAGAAGAGAACTATACTGTGTATATATAGTGTTTATGATATGCCTGTAATCTCTATAGTGTAACTAATTTGTTGTACATACGTTTAACCAGTTCGAATACATATATACATTATTTTAGAAACAAGTGGAGTGCGTGCTAATTGTTCATTTATCGTTGAATTTATCGCCAACAAGTCACAGACACCTACTGTAGAAGAATCCTAAGTCCAACAATAATAAAACAGTGTATATTTTTACTATTAAGAAGTATAAGCAAAAGCTTTTAATTGATAATTGGCGAATCATAACTTAACATCTGACACTGTCACTGAACACGCTCTGCACAAACAAGGTGTGGGTGTGTTGTAAAAGTGGCAATCAATCCCGTTATTCGGATCAAAAAGCTCGATAAAGCCCTTGCAAAGATGGGTGCTGACGGCTACACCTGAGTCTCACAGAGGTCTCTATCCAGAGACACAAGTATGTCCCGCAGCCCCCGCAATTGCAGGGGGGGGGGGGCTAGAAGAGCATGAAAAACTTAAGAATTGCTGACAAGGCGAGAGACATAAGATTTAATTTGTTTGAACTAAAGGACAGTTGTACTATTCTGTTAAATTAATTATATCAATCAGCTAGAATTGTAACAATTATAAGGGGCCCAATTATTTGTTTATGCTGGGAGCCATCTAGTGTAGTTACGCCACTGCCTTTAACCTGAACCATTTATCCTCGTGCGCATAAGGCGCCGTTCGGGTTGAGTGTTTATTGATAAAAAAGTTTAAATGGATCTCAAACTAGTACCAAAAACACAAACTATAGTTTTTCCATTTTATTTTAATAAGTAATTTAATTATTTCCTTTTTTCCCCTCAATATTGATATAAAATAAAAATAATTGTGCATTGTACGATCTCTACATGCCTGAAACGAATGCAAAAACATGTATAGTTAAGCCTTCAAACGTTTATATACTCGTGGCATGGCATATACTTGTGTAAAAATTTGCATTGCTACCAGTAGGCTTGAAAGTTTAGACAATATTAAGTGTTGAATAGGTACTGAATTAATGAACAACGCTGCCAACCTAATGTTACTTGAAAGTAGGCTTGAAAGTTTAGACAATACTAAGTGTTGAATAGGTACTGAATTAATGAACAACTCTGCCAACCTAATGTTACTTGAAAGTAGGCTTGAAAGTTTAGACAATATTAAGTGTTGAATAGGTACTGAATTAATGAACAACTCTGCCAACCTAATGTTACTTGAAAGTAGGCTTGAAAGTTTAGACAATATTAAGTGTTGAATAGGTACTGAATTAATGAACAACTCTGCCAACCTAATGTTACTTGATTATTGAATTATTATTTCGATTTGATTTTTACTCAGTTTCAATAGCATAATTCTACTATGGCCGAGTTAGTATTTATACATTTATACCTAAAGGTCTGGAAACATGAGTGAAGAAGAGAGACGAATTTCTATAAAATAGCAGAAGCACGATGAATTGTAAAATAAAACCTGTAAGGCTGAGATTGCCTGAGCTTATAATCGAAGCAGGCTGCGGATATCATACTATCTCTGTGAGGCTACTCAAGCTGCTTAGAGAACAGACGTGGAGTGAACTGTAGATGTCATAGGACTTCTGTGAGGCTACTCAAGTTGCTTAGAGAACAGACGTGGAGTGAACTGTAGATGTCATAGGACTTCTGTGAGGCTACTCAAGTTGCTTAGAGAACAGACGTGGAGTGAACTGTAGATGTCATAGGACTTCTGTGAGGCTACTTAAGATTTCTTGCAAAAATATGCAGATTAGATAGCAGATGTTATACAATCTCTATAAAGTTACTCAGACTACTTGGAGAAAAGAAGCGAAGTGAATTACATATAACTGGGAAACTAAGTAATATTGCCCGGAAAGATTGGAGAAGAAGTACGAAAAATAAAAATACAAAGAGAATCTAATCCACACAACAAAATACTTACCAGATATATGATATAAGGAGTACAAATTGTAGCTATGCATGCGACGGTGGCGCTTGCTCCCATCCCGAGAGCCCTGATAGGAGTCGGGTAGAGCTCAGCCGACTGTTGGTATACGACCATGAAGGCAGCCGAACAGCCGAATTTTCCCACAAGGGTCCCAATAGTAGTGCCGAGAGTTGAAGCTATTTCAAATGAAAATATATTTCCGGTTTTAAGTTCGGAAGTCAAGAAAAAATATAATACTTCAAAATGAAAAATGTAACGGTTTTATCTGATGAAGTTAGATGAATAGTTGTTATTGCTTTATTTGTTGAACTTATTTAGTGGTTCCAGCTAATTCTGGTGTTTTGTTTTAATTTTCAGATCGAGAAAACAAATTAAAAGGTGTATTGATTAATGTGTCTAATACAACGAAATATTGAAATGCTATCAGGAGACTAAAATCTTGAAACTTGTTTTCCCTGGAGAGGAGAAGAGTCAGAGGGGATTTGATTAAAGTGTATAAGATTATTAAGGATATTGATAATATTGATCCATCAAATTTTGAGTTTAGCAGTGAAAACAATAGGACAAGGGGTCATAAATTGAAATTTTGGCAGTGTAGGAGTCATCTGCAGTTTAGACAGTATTACTTCTCAAACAGGGTGGTTGGCTTTTGGAATGAGCTGCCTTCAAGGGTGGTAGAGGCAGAAAATTTAACAGGGTTAAAGAAAAGACTGGATGAATACATGGTTATAGTTGGGAGCTGGAAGAGACATCCTTGATGAGCTAATAAGCTCCTTTTTTGTCCCTTCATGAATTTTATGAGAAAACGTTGCACGAAATGCTTAGTTGGTTTTATAACTGAAGGACTAGTTTATTTATTAAATTGTGCTTAAACAACAACTCACTGAAAGTGCCAGTAATGCACATCCTCACAATAACCTCTGTTGTTTTCCAATCATAAGTAATGTTATAAAAAAGGTGATTAACTATTAATGCCTCATCTGACTGAACATTTCAGTATTGGTACAGAAATAAGGGCTGGTGAATAAACTTTATTACGTGTTATAAAATATTCTTATGGCGAAATTCAGTTGGTTCACTTCATCCAGATTAATATGCAAAAAAGGCCCCAACTGTGCAGATATACATCATGTTAATACATCGTTATTCAGATATATATACATCTTGTTAATACATCGTTATTCAGATATATACATCATGTTAATACATCAGTATTCAGATATATACATCATGTTAATACATCGTTATTCAGATATATACATCATGTTAATACATCGTTATTCAGATATAATACATCATGTTAATACATCGTTATTCAGATATACATACATCATGTTAATACATCGTTATTAGATATATATACATCATGTTAATACATCGTTATTCAGATATATACATCATGTTAATACATCGTTATTCAGATATATACATCATGTTAATACATCGTTATTCAGATATATATACATCATGTTAATACATCGTTATTCAGATATATATAAATCATGTTAATACATCGTTATTCAGATATATACATCATG